TAAATAAATAAATAAATAAATAAATAAATAAATAAATAAAGCTAAAAAAATAAAAAATAAAATAAAAACCTCCTGTTTGGAAACTTCTAAAACTTTATGAGTCAAAGAAGAAATTATAATAGAATTGTGAAAATATTTAGAGAAGTAAAGTAATAAAAAGACTATATAGCCAATCTGTGGGATGCAGCAAAAGGACTATATATAGAGAAATCCTAGTTGTAAATAGTTACATCAGAAAAATCAGAAAATCTTAAATTAATGAACTGAGCATCTGTCTTAAGCAGTTAGAAAAGTAAAATATAAAGTAGAAAAAAATGAAGTAATACAAATAAAAGTAGAATTTAATGAAACAGAAAACAATGATATTGGAGAAAGGCTCAATAGAATACAAAGGTAGTTCTTTGCCATGACTAAAAATGGACATAGTTTGGCAAGACTGATAAATGAATAAAGGAAAAACATACCCAAATACCAAGAATGAAAAGGGAGTCCTAATTATGGATGCTTCAGACATTCAAAACACCTGGCAATACTATAAGCAACTTTATTAATAAATCTGAAAACTAAAATGTGCAAATTTATAGAAAAATAAAAACTAAAAAGGTACTAGCATTCAATCTTAGTCATTAAGAAACCTTCCCATAATGAACATCCTGATGTTCATTAAAACCACACAGTTTTATAGGCAAGTTCTATTAAAATACAAGGAATTGTAATTCCAATTTACACAAACTCTTTCAGAAAAAAGAAAGGAAATTTACAAGTCTAACTCACTCTTGAACTTACTAGTTCAGCTCCCTACTTTCTTCAGAGAGATCATCATACATAAAAAGCTATCTCTGGCTTAGCAAGCAAATAAATTCACCTTTTGGGTTTGGATATTGAATAGCATTCTCCTTTCTCAACAATGAAGCAAGTTGTTCAATGTTCTCAAAGAAATGCATTTTAATCTAGAACTCAACATTCACTAGCATTCAAGTGTAGATAGTTTTGTGTTTATAAGGCAGATACTTTTTGGGGGCAATGCAAGGCCTCAAAACCTACCATATATTCTTTGGAAAGAATGACTCAAGTATGTAAAGCAGTGAAATAACTAATAATGCTAAAATAAGAGGATGATGTAGTATTAAAAAAAACAATGAACAGGGAGAAATCAGAAAAATCAATTTGTATTCCTGCAACTTTTCTGTATGTAATTACTTCACTTCCAAATAAGTTACAACCAAGTCTAAGTAATTACTAGCACATGATGCAAAAATAAACAGCAATGAGTGATAAATTTTCTGAGGCAATAAAAAGCAGAGGATTTTTTTTTTTTTCGGGCATACTTAAGCACTGACTCTGATTCCTTCCCTGTGGGAACCTGCATGTGCGCACACGCGCGCGCACACACACACATACACACACCCTTATAATTAATCTATAAATTTAATGAAATTTAATTGTAGGTCCCAGTGGAATTTATTTTGAAATGTGACAAACCAAGTTTAAAATTTACTTAGAAGAGTAATCATATAAAACCGGCAAATGATATTTTATTAAATTTAAGATTTGGTATGATGGCGCTGTAGGTTGTATACCCAGAACTTTCTCATTTCCTCACAATATCTCAATTATCCTTCTAATTGTCACCTCACTATTATTGTTTTAGCCATGCAATTGGGGAGGACTGACTCTAGCTTCAAAGCTGTATTTGGGTTAATCAAAGTCATTGCTTCCCATCAAAAGGATAATAATAAGGGAATTCTATAAACACTCCACACACATAAATTTGACAACTTGGAGGAAATGGACCAATTCTTCAAAAAATACAAATTATCAAAACACACTCATTATGAACTATATAATTTGAATAGCCCCATAACTATTCAGGAAATTAAATTCATAATATAAAAACTTTACCCCCCAAAAGAAATCTTCAGGTCCAGATGACTTCACTCAAGAAATCTACCAACTATTTAAAAAACTTACACCAGTTCTACATTATGTCTTCTAGGAAATAGTAGAGGGAGAAATATTTCCCAATTTACCTTTGAAGTTGGTATTACCCTGATGTCAAAACTGGACAACAACAGTATGAAAAAATGACCAACCAATATCCCTCATTAATATAGATGCAAATATCCTTAAAAAATATATAAGCAAGTGGAATTCAGCAGTATATAAAAAGAATTAATATGCCATGAGCCAGTAGGGTTTTTTCCAGGGATACAAAGCTGGTTCAATATTCAAATATTAAACAGTATAATTCACATTAACGAGCCAAGAAAAATCATATGAGCATATTACTCAATGCAGAAAAAGCATCTGACAAATTCAATACCCATGATAAAAGTTCTCAGAAAAACAGAAATAGAAGGGAACTTCCTCAACTTGATAAAAGGGATCTACAAAAAACCTACAGCTAACAACATACTTAATGGTTAAAGACAGATACCTTCCTCCTACAATCAAGAACAAGGTAAAGATACCCACTCTCACTACTCTTAATCAACAAAGTGTTGCAAGTTTTAGCCAGTTCAGCAAGGCAAGTAAAGGATATAAACAACACACAGATCAGAAAAGAAGAAATAAAACTCTCCTTATCTGCAGAGGACATGACTGATAACACAGATTCTAAAAAAGCTACCAAAAAAACCCCAAAAAAACAAAAACAAAAAAACTCCATCCCAGTACTAACTAGTGAATTCAGCAAGGTCACAGGACACAATATCAACATGCAAAAATCAACTATATTTCTATATTCTATGAAGGAACAAATTAAAAATGCAATACCATTGGGGCGCCTGGGTGGCTCAGTCAGTTGAGCTTCAGATTTCGGCTCAGGTCATGATCTCACGGTCTGTGAGTTTGAGCCCCGCGTTGGGCTCTGTGCTGACAGCTCAGAGCCTGAAGCCTGCTTCAGATTCTGTCTCCCCCTCTCTCTCTGACCCTGCCCCATTCATGCTCTGTCTCTGTCTCAAAAATAAATAAACATTAAAAAAAAATTTTTTTAATGTGATACCATTTATAATTACTAAAAATGGGAAAAAATGAAAGCGGTACAAAGCTAATAAAACATGAAGGAGACTATATGTTGAAAAC